GTTAGTGTAAAGTGCTTTGGGGTCCGGAGGGACTTGAAAAAGTGCTCTATAAGTTCAGTACCATTTACCATTTAAAAGTCAGACAAAATGATTTTCTCAAAAATTTTTTCACATTTTGTCTCTCATAGTTGAGGTCTACCTATGATGTCAATTACAGGCCTCTCTCATCTTTTTAAGTGGGAGAACTTGCACAATTGGTGACTGACTACTTATTTTCCCCACTGTATAATGTGAACGCCAAAAAATCAGATTTTAAAAAAATTCAGACTTGAGCATTAGGACCTGCACTGTGAACGTAGCCTAATGCAGCTATGCTAACCTATAGGTTTCTGCATGGAAAATTAGAAAAGTTCAGATAAGATGAGGAAATTGTCTGCTGATTTCTAAGAATTGTTTATGAGATCAACACAAGTGTGTTTTTTGTACTTTTATTCAGTTACGAAGAGATCAACACATTTGTAACACTGAGACCAAATAAGTTGTCAGTCCTGCTACACTTGATGTAACCTTGATTGTGGTGTATGTTAGCAGAAATTAAATACTCCCATGGCCCTTTCCATTATTAAAACAAATGTAATCATGTTAAAACATTAGCAGCAGTTAATGATACTTTGATTAGAAGATTTTAGCTACAATTTTGAATAAAAGTTGTGTACTCGTGTTTACGAAATGTGTCTCAATGAAAATTCGAATGAAATACTGGCACAAAGCATTCTTCCTGATCTGTTTTCCTGCCTGTGTGTTGCAGCAAAACGTGGAAGGACACAACTGTGATCGCTGTAAATTACAGACATTTGGATTATCTGTGAAGAATCCACTCGGCTGCAGCAAATGTTACTGTTATGGACTAACTCAGTCCTGCACAGAGGCACAAGGACTTGTACAGATGAGGGTGAGTGCACGCTGTTTAATTATTTTTATTGCTTTATAGCTGAGTTTCCTTTGAGACAAATAATCTGCGAATCCTAAACAACCCCCTGGTTTTTAATGAATTTGAGCTGTGAATTTATTTAATTTACATTCCATAAGTGGTTTAAAAATTAATAGCAGTGATGATTTTTCTTGTCACAAACCAGACGATTGCATGGGTCGTATCACAAATTATTTCTTGATGCACAACCTATGATTGACAGATTCCCTTCTCTAATACATCGTTTGTAAACTTAACAGTTTTCCAGGAAGTTACGTGCTTCATGAATCAAAAACAGAAGTGTTGACAGCCGCACAGACATGTTAACGATTGTGTGTTTTTAATCGTTTCTTTAAGCCGTAAACTGCTGTTTCTGAGACGACCGCTGAGTTTTCAAACGGCGAGCCTTCATTTGATCAAGCATTCACTTCATTTATTGTTGACAGAGCGAGATTCAGGGAGGGAGAACTGGTCAGAGAAATACATAAAAAAATTATTTTTATTTTTTTGAAAAGAGGGAGATTTTCTCTGAGCCACTGAATCGTGAGATTACACCAAGTGGAGTGGGAAAACACACATCTAGACTTCTGCTCACTATACAAACTTCTCACACACATTAACCTACACTACATGGGATAACACGGACGTTGGTGCAGAACAGCTCAGACATATTTTTCACATAAACAAGGAAAAAAGGAACAACGGTATGTATGCATAGTTGTAAGTAAAACTGTTTTAAAGCTGTAAAAAACACATTAAACCCATTTTAACTCCTTTTTTAAGATGGGAATAAGTAGTTTATGATGTGGTCATCTCACGAGAAGGCCGGCATTACTAAACTAAAATAACTTTAAAGGCTGAAACTCCTCTCATAACGCCTCAGATATTATTCACACAACATCCTCAGACCAACAGGAGAGAGTCTGGGCTTGAGCAGATGAATCTGTTTTTAAATTAGTCTGCTCAGCCACAACCCACAGTCAATAATAAACCCTGATATTATTCAAGCGATATTGAAATATCAACATAAAATGGTAGGCAGGGAGAATATGAGAGAGAAGGGCTCAGTTTTTCACCCGAATGCCAGCAATAACACAGCAAGAGAGAAAGTGACACTAAGCTTCACGTTAGACCCAAACAGAAATAATATGCGTGAATGAATGATAATAAATATAAATACTTGCAATCAGTCTTGGCTCTGACAAACTTTTTCTCATTAAATGCTGGCCAAGATTTTTCTGTTGTCTTCAGTGAATAAACAGTATTTTCATCATGAAGCGAAAAAAAGTCAAAAGTCCCTTTTTGCTATATAAAAAATAAAGCAAATAGTTTTGCATTGAGTTTATTAAAACAAGCATTTCAAGCATTTCGTAATAAAACATATTTTGAGCCACAAATGTTAATAAGTGACATTAGATTCCTTTGAAAGAGAAATATTTGTTCTAATAAATAAAATGCCTTTCTTTATACCTGGAATAAAACAAATAGTTCAGTGTGATTCACTGAAATCAATTCCTGGAAAATGTGATTTTATTAAAAGTATCAGCCATGTTCCAGACTGACTTTTTAATCATTTAACACTTAAACTGTCACAACTTAACAGATTTTGTTCCACCGGTGGGAAAAAAATGCTGCAGTTTCTGCCTTTAAACATTTCCAGACGTAATCGGGGGCTTTTATTTTGAAAACTAGGGTGTGAGACGACTTCCTCTGGTTCTTACCTTTTAGTTTGACACCTTACAAAAAATCTAAAATATCAAAAGGCTTTTAAGGAATTTCAGGGGTGACTGTTAAGGTTTTAAAGGGGACATTTTGTGCCTATTTTTTCTGTTTCTAGTTAACTCTGAGGCCAGAGCAGACCGTTCTCCCGTTGGTGGACAAGTCCAACAGCATCGAGAGGAGGACAGGAGTCAGCTTCCACCACCCTGAGATCCTGGCCTACGCTGATCTGGTCTCAACAACTCTGTCTGAACCCTACTACTGGAAACTACCAGAGCAGTTCACAGGCTCCATGGTAAACAGCCTGTTTGTTTTATTACATGCTTTCTTTATTTCATATCATTTATAGGAAATGAGATGAGTTGACGAACACCAGGAAAAGTCAAAATGCAGAAGCTCTTTCATAGTTAAAAGGGTGAAATAGTTTTCAGATGCTCCAAATCAAATAAAATGGATGTTACTGATGAGCAAACAGGAGCAGCTTTGGTAGTTTACTGGTCTTTGCAATGATTGGAGGAAGCATTTTCAGCTCATCAGTTTGAAAAGGTTGTTCTTCTATGCTAAGAACTCAGATATTCATCACCAGAAATAACTGGGTCAAAACCAAAAACACATCCTTCAGTAAAAAGCTTCTTTTAAGTTCTGACAGAACTAATGCTTTGTTCAGGTTAATGCTAGTCTGTGTTAGAGTATTTCTTATTAGCAAAACTCTTTATACTTTTCATTTGATCAAAGTTATGTCGTTAAACACACTTTACCATGAATCCAACATGTAGCAAATTGACAATTTGAGGCATAAAATAGTGTGCTTCAGTCAGAAATGCATACATTCAGTGAGCACACCAGCTGAATTCTGCACACAGCCTGTAATCGGCATATTAGTGCTGCCATTTTTGCAATATTTCTACAACACTGCAGCTCCGAATGATAATGGTCAGCTAATATTAGTATAGGCAAAATAAGGCCACAATACAACTCCAATCTTCCTTTACTGAAAAACATTGAAAAATACCTTTGAAACTATACAAACTTGTTTTAACTGGAAATTACCGTATTTATTCAAGTATAATATGTAAAACTAAATCCTTAAAATCATCCATGAAGTTGGGGGGGGTAGTGCTGTACTTGGATAAATATTTTTTCTTATGTGTTTTAACTGAAATGTCGGCTTCATTCACAAAATGCCTGAGTCCGGAAATGAGACCTCGTCATAAAAAGCAGTTGAAACGACCTTACCTCTGACTGTGCTGCAGAGCGAGATAATAACAGATCCAGGCAGGAGACATGATGTGAAAAAAAGTAGTCCCGCACCTCAGTAATGATAATGAACTAACGACATTAGCGTGTGACTGGGCCGCTCCTGGAACAACAACAAACACATGTTCATCTATAATGGCTGCCATCTACCAGTGTTCTGAAAAAGTTTGTATCCTTGAAAAACGTTTCCCCACCAGAGTAGGAAGTAATCTGCTTTTCCCCCACAAGATGGCCCAAATCTCATGTGGTCTCTGACTTTTGTGTTGGCGCCTCCTGGTGGACTATGTGTAAAATGTCAGAATTCATACGATGCTGCTACAGCTGATATATATTTGTTGTCAAAATACCTTTTAGTACATATGTTGTTTAAAATAAAATGAACAGTCCAATGATCATTTTACTGATATGTATAAAAACTGCAAAGGCTGAAAAATCTTGAAGTCTGTATGAAATTAAAGGTAGTTTGAGGATTACATTTTTTATGCTTTTTAAGCTAAAAAAAAAAAGGGGGGGGGTTGTATTATACATGAGATCATATTATACATGAATAAATACGGTAGGTAGTGCTCACAGTGATCGACTTTTCACGTAAGTATGGTCGATTTCTCGATTTACCTCTTATATAGTATGCTCTACTGTATGTTTCCAACATTTTGGGGGTCCCAGACCAAAAAACATTGAAGACCCCTGGTCTAAGCTATAAACTGTGAGATTCGGGGAATTTCATAAATGTCTTTTTCATGTATTGAACTTTTTTTTGCCTCCAGTCAGATTTACAGTGACTTAAACTGATTGTTTTTCTGTCTGTCTTCAGATCACAGCTTATGGTGGGCAGCTGAAATATGCAGTTTACTTTGAAGCCAGAGATGAAATCGGTCCTTCCTCCTACGAGCCTCAGGTTATTATTAAGGGCGGTCCAAACCACAACGTGGTGATGACACGCCACATTCCAGGCCTTCAGATTGGACAGCTCACCCGTCATGAGATCGACATGACAGAGGTACAACAGCTGGAATGTTAAGAAAATAAGATTTTACTGCAGACAGACAGGATTTGTTCAACTAAATGTCTTTAAATATGTGTGTTTGTGTGTGAAGCATGAGTGGAAGTACGCAGATGGTCGAGCTCTGACTCGAGAGGACTTCATGGACATTTTGTTCTATGTGGACTACATTCTAATCAGGGCATCACATGGCAACTCGATGAGACAAAGCCGGTAAAACCCAAACATATGCACCTCCAGAGAGCGTGCCTCACTGTTGGATGTAAAATATGACAAATTCAGACTGAATTCAGAGAAAACTTTGCTGCTGTTAAAGCTGTGACACTGAAACTTTTCACTTCTGCAGCTAATAATGATGGTTCTGTGTTTTACACATCCTTATTTTAGTTTATATAGACTGTTGTACTAATTCATTTTTGACCTTCATCTTCCAGTATTTCAGAGATCAGTTTAACTGTGGCAGAAGCAGGAACTCCAGGGGAAGAAAATGAGAAAGCCTATCAGATAGAACAATGTGAGTGTCCTGCTGGATACTCTGGACTCTCCTGTGAGGTATGCACAGAATTTATATATATATATATATACATACAGTATATATATATAAATATATACACACACACACATACATGCATCAAAACCTAAAATCTCCAAGATGTGAACTTTTCTAAAGGCTGTTTCTCTAAATGGCAAGTTAAAAATGTGGCAACAATTAAAATGTTTAGTTTTTTATGCAAAGCTGCCATTTTTAAATTGTTGCTGTTTTAAAAAATGTCATTGCAATTGAATATAGTGTTTTACAAATATGACTAAGGATTTACAAATGTTTTTTAAACACATTTCATTGACTTTCAATCAAAGTTTCCAGTTTACATTCTAAGCCTGAATAATGTGTTTCAGCTCTTTGTTTTTAAAATCTTTAGTTTTCGATTTCCTTCACCAGGTTTAATCCTTTCTCTCAATTCTGATTTTCTTGAAGTAATTGACCTTCAGCTCCTTTTCTTGAGCTGTAGGAGCCTGGTATAGAAGAGACTTCAGTTTAATGAGGATTTTCTCAGAACAGGTTGCTACGTGGACACACTTGTGTGTGATTCTGTTGAGCAGCCGTCGTTTAAGTTTTATTATTCATCTTACAAGAACAGTGTTTTCCTGGAAACTTGTTACTACACTTTTCAACGTCTCTCACTTTGTACTTTGTTTGCAGAGCAGTCTGAAGAAAATGGAACTGTGTTCATAAATTAAAGCTACATATACTGTTGGGAAAAACGCCAAATCGAAGCTAAACAGCAAACTGTAGCTAAAGTTAAAATGCTCGGATCGTAGAGGGCTCTGCTGACAGATGGCTCTTCTATTTGTAGCTACCGTCGTTGCTAATAAAGTATTTTTAAATAGGCGTTTAGTGCTAGCAGAGGGAACAGATGGCTCTTTAAATGGACTCCATTAATTATTACTGAACAGGAGACAGGGAGAGCGTTACCTTGCAGAGTTACTGTGTGTATGAACTGATCTGTATGCGAAAGTAGTGTGTTCAAAAGTTACTGAAGTGAATAACTCTTAATTGTGTGTGTGTGTGAAACTGTTGCCTGGAGAAGTGACCATTAGTGATAATTATGTGCGTCCATGCTTGTGTGTGTTTAAGGATGCGTTTCAGTGTCGCACTCGGCGTGAAGCTGCTCCAGGAACAAACGTTCAATCACAGCTGGATTTCTCATTTTAAAATGTTCTAAATATCGGATGCGTCCCCCTCCTCCTTGTCCCTGTGCAGGAGTGTGCTGCGGGTTTCTACCGTCTCCGTTCTGGGTCGCACATATCTGTTCCTGCGTCCAGAGTGCCCACCGCTGTGGGCATGGGCAGCTGTGTCCAGTGTCAGTGCAGTGGGCACTCCTCCACCTGTGACCCTGAGACATCCATATGCCAGGTAAATGAGCGCGCGCGTGTGTGTGTGTGTGTGGGTGTGTGTG